TCTGTCCCGATTGTCGTTCCGCCGCGTTCACAGGTATCGAGTGCAAGTATGAGATCCGAGAGCGGTGATCCGACTGTCTCCAACGACTACAGCGCCCGGTCATTATGGCTGTTTGTATTTGGGGAGGAGGGAGGGAGGGAGGGAGGGAGGAGAGGGAAGGAGGGAAGAGGGGGGAGAGGGGAGGAGGGAAAGGGGAGGGGGAAAGGGGGGGAGGGAAGAGGGGGGGGTGAAGTGGAAGAAGGGAAGGGAAGGGTAAAGGAAGGAAAGATGGGGAGGGGATGGGAGGGGAAGGTACACTGTACAAAACGGGGTCAGGGTGTGATTTGTGGTGCCTGTCCGAGCACGGAACTTGATTACGTGAGACGAGCGGAAGCGGTTTCGCCGGGGGAAGGGAGTGCGTTCGAAGCAGCGGCGTAAAGAGGGAGGGGTTTTATCTGCCAAGTGTCGCGGGGCTGGCGTCTATTTTCGCTTTTTCCTCTCTTTTGCTTTTGTTTGCTTTTGTTTTTGTTTGTCTTTACCTTCGTCTTTTCTTTTCGCGTCAAGAGTTTTTTCATCGATTGCTCTGCTCTGCTTGGGAAGGCAGCGGCAGAAGGAGGAATCGCCTCATTCCATTTTTGTACATGTAGTGCTGAAAATGATAGAGAGTTGTTTGATTGATCGCCAGTGCGAACCTCCGCGTAAGCGATCGCCAAATCCCTTCCTTGCTTCTTGTCTACTTCCCAATCGAGAAAGAAAAACTACCCCCTCTCTCTCTCTCTCTCTCTCTCTCTCTCTCTCTCTCTCTCACACACACACACACACACACACACACACACACACACACACACACACCTAGTGAGTGAAGTGGACTCCCTTCTATGTCCCTCCCAGCCTATTTTAACCATATCTCTCATCCGCTCTCTTGCCGGAGTAGAAAGTTAGGAAGCTAGAAAGAGGAGTGACGAGGACAGTGCGTTAAAGAGCGAAGACGATGAGCTGGCGATGGCAGCTGAGCCGCGAAACTCTGATGTTCATCTCGACGAAAGACGGAGAGAGAGCAAACTCGCCGACGCGGCTGTGGGAGAGCATTGAGCACGATGATAAGGAGTGGGAGAGAGAGTGCAGGAATCGGCCAAATTGACGGCGCGTGCTGCTGGAAAGAACACCTGAGAGAATGGCGGAAGCGCCTGGGGGGAATGCTGACCAGGTGGCAGGTTTCTCTCTGCTGGTGCAAAGCGTGTAAGTAAAGAAAGCACTCAAGGAAAGGGACAGAGGGATTTACCACAGTCATTACTGCGCAGGGGGATTTCCCACAGTCATTAATGCGCACAGGGGGATTTACCACAGTCATTAATGGGCAAGGGGATTTCCCCCAGTCATTAGTGCGCACAGGGGGATTTACCACAGTCATTAATGCGCAAGGGGATTTACCAGGCATTAGTGCCTCGTTCCACACCACTTGAAAATACTTGAGTTTCAAGTGCACACTAAGCGAGAAATTGTGATTAATTTACACTTACTCGATTTATGGTTCCATGTACACTAGAGTTTCAAGTGCACCCCTTGAACAGGATCTCTGCACTTGAAACCGAACTCCACCGCTTGACCAATCCTGGACCAGGATCGCCTGCTGGAGAAAAAGAAAAACGAAAAAAAAAGGCCACTCCACCGCTTGACCAATCCTGGACCAGGATCGCCTGCTGGAGAAAAAGAAAAACGAAAAAAAAAGGCCCCACCCGGAGTGCAGGCGGTATCGGCTGGCACTTGAATTCAAGGTACCTCTGGGAGGTGACTTGAATTCAAGAACGATTTTGGCTGTGTCGCCCTTGAGTTTCAAGGGCACACCCTTGGGACCCAAAAAGTGAAAACAAAGCTGGTCGCTCTAACGAGGGGGCGGGGGGGGGGGGGTGGAACGGTGACTTTTCGCTTCCCTCTTGAACTCAAGTGGTGTGGAACGACGCCCTTAGTGCGCCGGGGGATTTACCACAGTCATTTGTGCGCCGGGGGATTTACCACAGTCATTTGTGCGCAGGGGAATTTACCACAGTCATTTGTGCGCAGGGGATTTACCACAGTCATTCATTAGTGCGCAGGGGGATTTACCACAGTCATTCATTTGTGCGCAGGGGGATTTACCACAGTCATTAGTGCGCAGGGAGATTTACCACAGTCATATATAGTGCGCGTGGTAACGAGGATCGGCGGGGACGTTGGGGAGCAAAGGATGAGCTCGAGTGTAGTTGTTTTCGTTCACACGCCTGAAGGCAGCCGTTGTCTCTCTGGTCCACTACTCCCTAATTGTGCAAAACGAGAATGAACCTTCGGTTCGGTCAGATCATTGTTTTTTTTTCTTTTTTTCTTTTTTTTTTTGTCGGTCAGATCATTGTAACAAGATACACCACCATATTTTTTTTGTCGTTTGTGCATGTGGTGAGTAGAGTCGAGTGAGGCCCAGATTGTCTGTCTGGTCCACTATCCAGGAGGGTGTTTTTTTTTTTTTTTTTTTTTTTTTTTTTTTTTT